CCCGCCGCGCAGTCCCCTGGAGGGGCGTGGCCGGCCGAGGGGCGGGGCGTGATTGGAGGACGGGCGGAGCCAAGGGGCAGAGATGGGGCGGGGCTTAGAAACAGGACTTGGCCTGGGTGGGTGGAGTCAAGTGAAGGGGCGGTGCAAGAAACAGGAAACTAGCTTGAATTAATGAAAGTCTAGTGAGTAATTTGTTATGAAAATATTGGGGTATATCACAGCATGCAAGCACAGGACTCCAGCTAACAGCTGGAATTGGGGTTTCCTATCCCAGTAGCACTCCCTTCCTTATCTCTGCATGTCTACTTTATTCCCTCTTATTGCAGACCAGTATTCTGTTTCCCAATCTATGCAGCAGGAAAAAAATAATGGCTTCTGCCAACAGGTTCTGAATTAACATCATCTTAGCTCAAAAGGACAGCCAAGGTAATCTCCAAATTCCCATAACTGGCTGAACTTACATCAGCTGTTCATCCTTGAGCCAATCAGACTCATCATAAGGATAAGTCAGAGGAAAAAGGCAAGAGAGAGTAGTGATATAGCAATTTTCAGAATTGGAAGGTGTGCTGAGTAGGCAAAATAATAGAAGGAAGGGTCACTGCGGTTGACACCGGAGGCCCCAGCAGACGCGGAGCTGGGCATCTCCCTGCGCCTCTTAGCGGGGCGGACAGGATTTGCTTGCCTGTCTCTGAATCCTGGGACACGGGCATGAGACTTGGCACCGTTTAAAGGGCTCGCTGTGTCCGGAGACTTACTGTGCCAAAGGCCGGGGCGATGTCTGTGGCTTTTAAGCCAATGTCCTTACCGCCAAGTGCCTTTGAGGGGTCAGCCCACTTGTTCATTCTCACCCTCGGGACAGCCACTCTCAGGGGCCTCATCTCCACCCCGCAGATGAGGTCACTGCTCGGCAGCAGTGCAGTAACCTGGGCAGTGGCAACATGGCTGTGTTAGGGGCAGAAACAGAATTTTGCATCCATTCTCATTCAAGAGCCGCCTATGATCGTGGAAAGATTTAACCCACCTGTTGCCCAAACAATGGAGTCCCACTCCAGCCTGCATCGCCTAGCTCCCCAAGCCTGGAATTCCCACGTCCCCATGTAATCTTGGTCCTTCTACCCTATATATAAGCAGCTGGCTTATGGAGGGAGGTGGGTTGCAGATCAGGTTTTTGTGAAAGACGCCCTCCCTCCCCCCTGCCCAGCAAGATTGGAATAAATGCTCATCTAGGATTCAACCCTGTGTCTGCTGAATTGGCTCGAGTAGTGGCAGGCGGCCCGGACCCATTTGGTTGTCCGTTTACAGCTGGACTCGAAGGTCACCTCCCCGCCCTTGGCTTGTATGGGACACATCAGGTGAAAGGGCCTCGGTCATGGGAGAGAGAAGTCAGGGTGTGTGACCAGGAGTAAAGAGATTGTGGAGTTTTAGGGCAGAGACAGGCCATTGGCATGTCACCTTTCTCCCAGGTTGGAGCAGGAGAAGTCGAAACCTCTCCAAACCACGCAATCGCTTTTGCACGTTTTCCTTCTTCCTGCCTCAGATTCCGCACGCCTGTGAACAGGCCAGCACCGTGGGCAGAGCCTGCTCTGCCACATTCTTTCACAATCGCTCATCTCTGTTTCACGTGCATTCCAGCCGTCCAGGTAGAAAAGCCAGAATTTCTGCTGAAGACCTGAGTTTTCAGTTCTGGGGGTCCCTCCTCCCACAGGTGAGAAATAGAAGCAGCAACCTGCCTAGACAATTCCCACAACGACGCCCCCCCCTTTTTAAAAAATATATATTTTATTGATTTTTTACAGAGAGGAAGGGAGAGAGATAGAGTGTTAGAAACATTAATCAGCTGCCTCCTGCACACCTCCTGCTGGGGATGTGCCCGCAACCAAGGTACATGCCCTTGACCGGAAGTGAACCTGGGACCCTTCAGTCCACAGGCTGACACTCTATCCACTGAGCCAAACCAGCCAGGGCAATGAACCCTTTTTGATAGCTATTGCCAGTGCCCAGAATGAGGCCCGCCCTCCCTCTTGAACTGATACAACAATGCTGTGAGGATCCAGGGGTACAGCTCCCATGTGACGGAGGAGGAATCCTGGGCTCAGAGGGGCAAACTGACTTGCCCAGCGCCACCCAGCTAGGAAGTAGCAAAGCAAGGCTTGGTTGCATTCTCCGATTCCCAATCACCCTCCGTAGCTCCCAGATGTTGGGTGTGGCCCCTGACAAAGAAAGCGTGTATATTTGTTTGCAAGGAGGGTGGGCGGAGGGAAGAGACGCATGGATGACATGCCCTGTGCCCATGTCCTGCAAGTTATTCCACCGATGCCTCTTAAGTCTACAGAGTTTGGTGTCATGACCTCATTTCACAAAGGAAGTAGTCTCAGAGACGGGGACTTGCCCAAGGCCACACGGCCCCTAATAGGTGGATTTAAATCAGGGCCCTGTCCAGGGCAGGGGGATGTGTGGTTACTTCTATAGGCATTGAGAATACAGCACAGCACAGAACAAAAGTAACTGCCCTCCTGGAATTTACCCCTGGGGGAGGAGACAAACAGTCAATAAGTAAGTGAAATGTGAGATGTGCTAAGGAGAAATAAAGCAGGGGAGGGGAGCTAGACAATGGGGAAGGGGTGTTGCCATTTTAAAATAGCCGGTTTGGCTCAGTGGATAGAGCGGCAGCCTGCCAATTGAAAGGTCCCGGGTTTGATTCTGGTCAAGGGCACATGCCCAGGTTGTGGGCTGGATCCCCAGTGGGGGGTGTGCAGGAGGCAGCCGATCCATGATTCTCTCTCATCATTGATGTTTCTCTCTCTCCCTTTCTCTCTGAAATAAATAAAAATATACTTAAAAAATAAAATAGTGGCCCCAGCCTTTGGTTCAGTGCAAGGGTCCTGGGTTCGATTCTGGTCAAGGACACGTACCTGGATTGCAGGCTTGATCCCCAGTAGGGGGTGTGCAGGAGGCAACCCATGGATGTCTCTCTCACATCGATATTTTTTTCTGTCTCTCCCTTCTCTTTGCCACTCTCTCTAAAAATCAATGGAAATATACCCTCGGGTGAGGATTTTAAAAAAAGAAGAAAAAGGTTACAAAATTAAATAAATGAAAGGAGCGACCAGCCTGCGGAAGGCCCAGCGCCACGATCCCACCTCCGCGGTGAGTCAATGAATGAAAGAGGAGTCGGGGCAGCCGTCCGGGAAGCCCCGAACTGCGCAGCTTCCGGGTCGCCGCGGCGTCACGTCACCGTGAGACGCGCCTGGCGATTGGCCAAGAGGAGGCGCGGAGAAACCCCCTGGGCGGGCTCGGGGGCGGGGCCTCCAGGGGGCGGGGCCCG